CCTCCCTCCCTTACCGTACATCCAATCACTTTTGTGTAGAGACCATTTCCTGGAGACTTAAGTAGAATATATCTTTGCCACGGCAGCCCTACATTCTATTACTCGATCAGTTCTTAATGCGGCAATAGTAGGCTGACCGGCACAATCTTTGGATGCATTCAGTGTCATTTTTTTATTACAGCGAGGTGAAGCCTCCTTCCCTATAGGTTGTCGGAAAAATGACGTTCCTCGGCAAAGAGTTGGCAAATGATTTTCCTGTTGGAAGTTGCTCATACAAATTCGCCTTCAGGTTCGTGTTAATGTGAGTGCAGAGGAAATCACTTGGAAGGGGTTTTAGGGTTTGTTCAAGATGATTCCATCTGAAAGCACAGGAACGAACATTTTAAAGCGATCATCCCACAAAAACGACGACACTAATTGGGGTCGTAATGCCCCCCCCCCCCCCCCCCCCAATTTTTATTCTGCAAACAAAATTAAAATTTAAACCATAATTTCTTGCCTCACAAGCGATAATGGTCATGCCTGACCTCAAGTGGAAACAAATCCTAGAGGCATTTCAAGGAAGGAAGAAAATATCAGTTAATCTATGGTTACTTCGGGTTTTCTTGGGAGTTGAGATATCAAGCCAATTACGACGCACAAATTTTAGCGGAAACAATGGTGGATCAAGTGAAGTTGGCTTTTAAAGTGAAACTACATGATGATTTCCTGCAAATGGTTTTGAGGAAAGAACGCCATCCAAAAAGGTTACAGTGATTTGGAAAGTAATCTGGGCAGGTAGCTCAAAATGCAGAACGATAGTTAAGGTAAGTGAAATCGTTTTGGCAAATAGCTCGTGTTTATCGCCGAAATGAACAAAAATGCTGTGATACTCTTTGCATCGCCGTGTTTTGGTCTATAATTCCGTTAATTTCATCGGATATTAAACCCTGAAGGTGAATAATAACTGCTAATCATCACCTTCTTCTAGCCAATCAGCTCGCTCGAAAAGTATTTCCGCGTGTGTGGTATACACTATTAGTATTTATTTGAGTCCCTTTCACCTCCCATTTCATTCCGGTGGCCTTTCGATGATGGTGGTTTTGGACATCCTTCCATGTACAAATTGAGGAGAATGGTAACAGAGGCACCATTGGTCACCAGAGTCAATGGCAACTTGAAGTGTGATCATCATTCCATAGATTTGTGGAAATTCATCTAACACTTGGTGAGCTACAATTCATATTGAAAACAACAGAAAAAAATAGAGAAAACCAAAACAAAACGAAGAAACAAAAGAACAAGAAAAAAAAAAGACATTTCACAAATTAAAATCCGTCTTGCTTTTTCCGCTTCTGGTGTTATTATCATATTTCTGTTGTTCATGCCAATATGAGTGGGACTATTATTCACATCAAATTAAACGCGGCCAAAGCAAAAATAAGAATTGAAGGAAATGACTCCCACAACAATCCACCCAAAAAAATTTTTCATGAAGAGGCAGCTGTTACTTTTTCTTCCTTCGGCGACGTATAAAAGATTGAAATTTATGACGCTAACTATTTGTTCAGAAAAGCTTGTACACTAGTACGGAGAAACGCTTGAGAAATATGTCTCTTGATTCATAGTGCGACGAACTAAAGTTGTTTTAGTAACCCGTTTTTTCTCGCGACATGTTCGCAAACGAATCAGAAACGGTCAACCAAGCCAACATGACCTCGTCAGTGTTCTATTGTTGGTATTATCCAAATTATTCTTGGGACTTGGGGGAGACCACTTTTGCCTGGCTTATATTTGGTATTACAATCCTTGCTTCTCCCGTGATTTTTCTTCTTAATGCGTTCGAGATCGTAGCCGTGAGTAGGAGGAGAGATTTGCAGAGAGCGTCGACTATTCTGTTGTGCAGTATGGCCCTTGCAGACATTTGGGTTGGTGCCGTATCCCTGCCGTTAACTGCCGTTATTGATTTGTTGATTGCTCACCAAACGTTTCTTGACAACGTCTGTATTTTAGACCTCATAGGCCTTGCTGTTATGTACTGTGGATCCACCTCTGTGCTGTCCCATTTGACAGTGATTGCATGGGAGAGGTACATTGCTGTCAAGAAATGGAGAACATACCAATTGATCTCGACTAGACGACGTGCAAAGAGACTTGCTGTACTCGCTTGGCTGCCGTCGATAGTCATATTACCGCCCTATTTCTTAGCCGCGGCTAACATAGACATTGGGTGGTTTGAAAATTCTTATTTACTTTTCCAGGGTGTTTTTTGGGGATCTGCCTTAACAGTGATAGCCTATTTTTACCTAATGATGTACCTTGAAATACGAAAACTAAGAATGAACCTGGTCCACACTGTTCGCACTGTATCTGTTGTAAAGCAGACAGCTAAAATTGCTAAGACAACTGGTTTTATAACAGGAATGATATTTTTATCGTTTCTTCTTCCCACTGCGATAGAAATTTTGGGAAAATTCTTCGCAATTTTTCAGAAAAGTTCGGTTTTCCGACTGACTGAGACAATCATGCAGCTTAATTCTCTCGCAAATCCCTTAATCTATTATTACAGAGATCGCCGGTTCAGAAATGCTATTTTTGAAATGCTACGACTAAAAATATCAGAGGGAAACCTGCTAGCTGCTGGCGCGGAGCCACGACCTGTTGAGGAAATCAATCCTGAAAGACAGAGAAGAGTTGCCTTGAATGAATTACCACCACAAAATAACCGATTAAACCAACAAGAACATGAAAGGTGTTCATTTATGATGAGTGCAAAATTTGGATTTGCTGATTGCTGCCAGGAAACAAATGACATTTGAATACTCTAAACAGCAGCATCGCGTTGGTCACAACAACACAATTCGTCGAAAGGACTTCGGCAGAAATTTGGCAAAGAAGTGAAGTATACAATTAAGATTCATGTTTTTGAGAGTGGAATGTTATTTTCAATTTTTGGGTAAGAAACTGAGAACAAACAGTCATATGCCCGACAATTTTCCTTCCTTTTTATTCCTTAATAGAAGTTAGCAGTTACGCAAATGTTTAATACTTATCTAGCCGGGCCACTCTTGAAAATCATATAAGGTCCTTAATTACAGTACATTGATAACTTCATGATAACATCAAAAACTTATAAAATAGGAAAGGCTGAGAACAGCTTGGTTTGAGAAAAATATAAAGAAGACTTTTATTAGCGTCATTAACTACTCCAGAGATGTTACTTAAGGAATAATCTGCTGTATGTCACGAATTTCTCTCTCAAAATACCCGTTTTTTTTCGTTGCTCTCCGAGAAAGCATGGTATTTCATTCCATAGTCTAGCAACGATTCTTAAAGGCACTCTTTCTACTACAAGGTTTGACGGTTCCGTATCGAAATAATAAGAAGTACCCATATAAAAGTGTGTATGGCAAGAAAGGAAATCATATGTTTTCGCAAATAAACTACCTTGGTTCATTGGCGCTAAGGCGGTGTTAACATCAGCATTAATTCAGATAAACTTTATGATACAGAAGTTGTGGAGGTAGAAGTTTCTGTAGAAGTGATGTTTTGTTTGGACAAGACATACAGACCTGAAACCAAACAGACAATCCTTTGGTAATAGGGTTTGTCGATAACTTTGTCTAAACGTCCGTTGCCTCACGGAACCGATTTCGTTGTGAACATGATCTTTTTAGGCGAAGTGCAGTGTGGAATCAAACGTGTGAATTTTGCCGTAGCTAGCTCAGCAGTAGTTCACATTTCCAAGGTGATCTTCATTTGAGAGGGATTGTTAAGAGCGGTCGAATTTATATGGATTCATGATTGTATGATTGTTTTTATCATTAATTTGTTTTTTCTTTGAACATTTTAAGAAATAGTTTTTGTAGGGCGCAGCGGACAACTTGAGGTTATGGTGTTTATCATTACTATATGCATCAGCATAATTATTATGATTGCTATTATTTTTTTAGATATACGCACTATTTTGTCTTTTTGTTACCTTTTCAAATGATGGGCAAAGATGAAGAGATAACATATCCATGGATAACGATAAGAATTTGTTCTCGTTTTATTATGAAAAAAATGTTCATGATTTGAACAGAAAAAGCTTTCCTTTGCGTTCAGTTTGCCTTCTCCCATTGAAAGAAATTGATGTTCTTTTCGAAGTCTTTAATTTCCGATTTTCACAACATCTCATACTGAACACAATTGATTCTGCTTCTCATTTGTGTGTGGGCGATTTTTTTTACCCTTCAAATCAGACAGAAATGTCTTTTTAAGCGACAAGCCTATGTGTTTGGTTTCCATTGCCTAATTGAAATCGTGGGGTTGGTTTACAGACAGCCTTTCACAACAATTATTCAGCACTATAATGATCCTTCTTAATGGACTTAGTTTATAATCCCTTGCCTTCATGGATTAGCTGAGGTATCGACCAATTTTAAATCTTCCTTTATGTCATGTTTTGTATGTTATTTCTATCTTTTATAGCATCATTTCCCATTGAAACTGGATTTGAGCGGGACACCAGCTGCCAAAGTAAATATTAACTATTTTTGTTATGTACTGCTTTCTACACATTTTGGCGGTTTTACGGCTATCGGTTAACCCCATCGAGACCCTCGTAAACGTGAGACACTGGCTTAATCAAACTAACTGGTAATTTGAGTCTCAAGGCTTACGTATATATGGCTAAAGACGCCCCATGATAGGAACACCTTGAAGTAATATACCATCAAACCACTCTAAACTGTTTTTAAAAGAATCCATTTTAGTCTTGGCCAAAAGGAAGCAAAATATTTTTACTCACTGAAGCATTTTTCGTTTTGCTCTCTCCTGTTTACATCATTATAGCCTTCACAAACCATACTCCCCCAAGGAAAGCTTTTTCTTATTTGAACGATAGCAATGAAAATCAGATCGACCGCGAGCCAGCTAGCGAACTGAAAAGAGGCGCAAATTGCTGTTTGCCTTGATCAATGGGAAACCAAGTCTTTGACGAGTATCAGTGGCAACGGGAACCTATTGATGGACTTACCTATCGAATTAGAATGGCGTGTCATGAAAGTAAATAGCTCAATATGAAGGGACATCGAATGAATAACAATGTTGGTCAACTAAACACTGTTTGCATCTGCTCCAGGAGAAAGAGGAAGCATCACGTTGATGCACATAACCGTACGCTGAACTAAGTGAAGTGAACGAGAGGTGGTTCTTCGTCAGCTCAGCAGAAAAAGCAAAAATTACAGCTTACCAGTCAATCGGCAAATCTTTGTTGAAAAAAAGAAAACCCAAAACAAAACAAAAAAAAAACCGTATTATCAATACCGCTGCTAAACATTTAGCTAGCATTGGTAACTGGCATTGGGAGAACATTCTTCTATAGGATGTGACTGTTTTTAAAGCTTGTATAAAAAAAGATTATCGCACTCAGTGGTCAACGCAATATTTTTGAACTTGAGTGATAAAACCTCAGAGTCAGCATTTTCAGGCATTCTATATTAACAAGAAGGCGCGTTATGCGCCGATCGATTCAAAGCTTCTACATCCCCCTGGGGACAACCCACGGGCATTTGGCTGTTGTAGGTACCCCGTGGATGGGGGATTGGAGCCTCTCTTCGGTGGGGTGGGGAATTTGAACCAACGGAGTACACAAGGAGTTTAAAAGTAAAGAGTTCGCTTACGTATGCAAATGAGTCAGAGTAAAATTATGACATCGTAGAATGATGCTTAACAGCAAAACCAAACAGCGCCACCGAAATATTTACTGAATTCCCCAACATTTCTTGATCACACTAAGAATTGTTTAATAAAAAAAAATTCCGATCGGGCGGGGCATTTAAACGCAATTTCCTCCCGGGTAATGT